TAAAATCCTTTCAATATTTACATTTTTTGCTTTCATCCCAAATATGTCTAATGATGAAGCATTTAACTGTTTAAACTCAATAAGATTACTTGAGTCATCAATTGTATTAGTTTGGTTAAAATATTTTTTTATATCTGAAACTAGGCACTTCTCATTTGATATTACCAAATTTTTTTCCATTGTCTTCATCCAAGTAGCCGCCTGCTTGGTCAATAAATTCGGCGATTTCATATGATTACTATCATATACAATTATTCCCAAGGAATCATTGGGAAACTTGGAAAGAGTTGCTTCAAAATTCTTTATATATTTTAACAAAATTGACGTTTCGATGGATTTACATTAAATTATAATAATCTTTTTTTCATAGTTTGCGATGATATCAACACCCCCATTATCCTGCCTCACTTTAACCCCCATACAATAAAATACTCTGCTCGTTCAAGATCTTGGCAATGGTGGATTCAAAGTCATAGCCGATCTTGTGATTTGAATTCTGGATTAATTTTTTTTAAAAAAAATGGTTAGTGAGAGATTCCTATTCATCTTACGTAGCGGCTGACTTCACCAAGGTGTAACTCACAGATCAGCTCGATTTCCATTGGAAATAGAATCCATCCTTGCATTTCTTTTGAAAAGAAATATCCCAGAATGAATTCCTTCCAATTCGAGACAGCGTAACTTCAAAATCTCATATTCACTAAGTAAAAGGCATGGCCATCTTACCTTTTCTAGAGTTGACATCATTAATAAATCATGTATAGCTAAAAATCTATTTGGTCACATGAGACTAAATAGATTAAAGTTATTTATAATAATATTAATAAAAATAAAATTAAATAGTAAAAATGCCAGTTAACATGTTTGCAAGAACATTAATATCCTGGTCTTTCCCCCCCTAGAAATCGGGTACAATCTTTAATCAAAAAAAAATGCATAGCCATAATAAGCTGTTGAAAAGAGCATGAAGAATCAATCTGATCAAAATCAAAGAAAAGAATATTGTGTTGAATGAACAAATACCTGTACTTTAAGAAGTAGAAAGTGGCCATCCCATAATCATGTTTCCTAGAGATCCAATTGCTATGAATTTGATTATAATTAAGGAGAAAATATTTCTTGAAAAGATTTGCAAATATTTTTTTATGATTCTGGTAAAGATGTAGCATAAAATATTTCTTCCCATTAAGAATGTTTGGATAAACCCAATCGCAAAAATCGCAATGAATTCCAGATAGTAATAGAATACAATGTTTGAATAATGAATCTTGCAACATCTTAAGTTATATAAAGAAAAATCTATTCGGTCTTCGACTGAATAGATTAGTTGGCTATTTTCTATTCTCATCTTCTTTGCAATACATCTGATCGAACCTATATTAAATACATCCTCAATAACAATTTGCAGCTTTTTATTAACTACTGTTTGTGTATCTTGTGAAATTCTTTTTAATAACGTTGATGACATAGAAATTAGAATTTTGGTACGAGTAGCAGTTGATGAAATTTGTGAAACCAATTGAGCTTGAGTGGTTGGTGCAGTGGAATTAATTCTGGGCGTCATAGAATTTGTTGTTGGCACAGTGGAATTAATTCTGGGTGTTGTAGAATTAATTTTGGGCGTCGTAGAATTAATTCTGGGCATCGTAGAATTTGTTGTTGGTGTAGTGGAATTAATTCTGAGCATTATAGAATTAATTCTGGGCATCGTAGAATTTGTTGTTGGTGCAGTAGAATTAATTCTGGGCATCGTAGAATTTGTTGTTGGCGCAGTGAAATTAATTCTGGGCAGCGTAGAATTTGTTGTTAGTGCAGTAGGATGAATTTTTGTGGGTGTGAAATCATATGTTTCCCAAATATCACAGTGTTTAAACCTAATATGTTTCTTAATGGTATCTGTTAAATATGGTTTAAAATATTTTTTCACACATATTTTACATTGGATATACAAATCGTTAATAGATTCAAATTGTTCTAACACAAAATCCTGTCTCGATTTTTTATACTGCATCAAAAATATGTAACTAAAAAAAACAAATTATACAGTTAAAAATCCATTCAGTCAACGTAGACTAAATGGTAAATATAATAATAAAAAATAAAATTACTCGCTATCTAAGTGATTTGTTATCCGATAAGCTATCACTATCTATCTTTTTTTTCTTTTCAATATTTTCCTCCACAACGATTTCTTTTTTTCTTTTGGCAGATATGGCCCTGGCACGGGAACAAAACTTGATATTAATAGTCTCAACAATCTCCTTGCGCTTCTCAGAGAGGGAAGATGTAAGGTCGATTAGCTTGGTAAACTCAGCAACATCATAAGGTTGCCACTCACTGTTATTTACAGGCTCGACACATTTGGAAATCTGCTCACCAATAAAGGAAAAATAAATAGCGTAGTTGTAAAGACACTCCTTCCTATCAGGGAACTCGCGAAAGCCCGAAACCTTAGTAATATAAAAAAGTTCATTGATAATGACCCCGGCCTCCTCTTCACTTCACGTTTTGCACAATTGATAAATGATTCACCAAATTCCACATGCCCTTCAGTCACTTGCCACAAAAGATGATGATCTTTAAAAGAATTGATATGATAAGATAACCAAATATTCTTCGAATCAGAAACCAATATGGTAAGGCTAAAATTACGCTCATTGGTCTTATACGCATCAAGCTTCTGACGAGCTTGATCCTTCAAATTTTTAGTTATATTTAATAGGGCAATAATCTCCAGAGAACATTGTTCTATAGAAATTCTATCATTTTTCATAAAATTAAGAGTGTTGAGATATGTAGTATACCTGTCAATCAAATTTGTATAATTTTCGTGATCTTTTTGAACTTGAAGATACTGATTCATAATGATAAAAAATGAATCAAATAATTTCTAACCGGTTTTATCAAACTGATTAGAAATTTATAAAGATTACTTGATGATAGTAAATCAAAATTATCCATCATGATCTCATTATCGCTGTACGTTAAAATTTGATTGGTAAATCTTACACCATTAGAGTCGAAAGACCTGTCCTGGTGATGAATATATGAAAATTTTGAACATTGAACAATGGATTCTGGCATGGTGAACAATACTTGGTCTTCCTGAATAAACAATAGTTTTCACAGTAATAAGGTTTTAGTTCGACAAATTCTCTGTCGGACGCATGGGCTGATGAATCAGCAGAAGGAGTTTCTGATCGAAGTGTCTTATTATCAGATTTATGATTGTCATATGAATAATCAGGCTGATATTGTTGACGGTGATATTTTTGGGTAAAGCAGTAAATTGGCCTGGAACGATTTGTGGTTTGTATGCTTCGACGAACATGTATGATTTGTGAATTATAATGAAGACTATCAGTATGGAAATTATATTCGTTCGTTTTAAAATCAAGAAGATTGTTTTTTAGTAATAGCAACATTTTTAGTTACGCAAATAAAATTCTATCAGGTTCACATAGAACCAGATAGAATAATAATAATTTTATTTATAAAATAATGATGATATAATATAATTTAATTAATAAAAATTGAAATAGATTCATTAAGAATCAGCTTCTCTCGCTTCGAGGAATTTTTCGTTGATAAAATCTTTGAGATCAGCAATTTGGCCTTCCAGCCAACATTCTAAAGCTTTGGCCACTTGTTGAGTGATCATAAAATTAGTTTTCTTCCAAGTTTGAACTTCAAAATATTTAGAATGGTTCTTGTTAGTGAGAAATCATTTCTCGATTTCTCTATACACCTCAACACGCGCATGTTGATAGATTAAAAGATTACGCATAAATTTTAAACATTTTTTCTCATTAGGGTAAGCTTTCTCATAAGCTTGCATATCAACGTTCTTGGTAATATTGCCACTCTTGCAATTCAAATAGTAATTAAGCTCGCTCTCAGTCACGGTCATGCGCTTACTAGAAGGCAAAGATAATGTTGATTTTTCAACCTCTTTGATAGGATGCTTTTGTTTTAACATTTTTGAATATATATTTAAATTGTAAGATTAAAAGATGAATCAAAAAATCTCTAACCGGTGTCTATGAAGCACTGGTTAGAAGTAAAGTTTATGAAATAATACAAGAAAAAATACTAAACAATAAAAAAGATAATAATTGGTGTTTGCTCGAATTAGCTGTAGAAATGAAATTAAAGTAAGCTTGCTCATCATTTGTTCGATATCCAAATAAGTAGTATTAATTGTTGTAGACACCTTAGATGCCTCCGAGATCAGGTTAAATAACTCCTTGTCATGTTGTAAAAGATCAGAAAGAATAGTAAGCAGATTGAGATTGGTTTGTTGAGATCGCCATTGGACCCGAGTTTCAAGATCGGAATCTAATAAAATCTTCACTTCAGCATCAGGTAGAATCCTGGTCGTAGCATCATGACCCACAACAATGTATTTCTTACCAACTACCATCTTTTGAATTATCGTATTGATAGTGTCTCACAATACCTTGTTTTTAGAGAGCAAAGAGGCCTTATTGCCAATAAGAAGTTTATTTTCCTGATCATCATCCTCATCAAACGTGTTTAAAATTGTTAAAGAATCTGGGTTATCAATAAAAAAATCAAGAAATAAAGCTAAATTATTATCATTAACATCTTTATAATATTTTGCATAGTAATGATAAAAATGACCACTATTAATAAACTTAAAGTTGTGCTGGTGAGCGAATTTCTGGCCAATTGTGAATTTACTAGTAGCAGATAAGCTATTGATAGCGATATTGAATTGATTTGAAAACATTGTTATGCTGGCTGTTAC